ACCCCGTCCCTCAGGCTACAGAGGGTAGGGACCATTAAAACCACATTTTTGTTGACCTTTACCTATGGATGCTATATGCCAAAATTGGTGTCAATTAGTTGAGCGCTTTCAGAGAAGAAGCTGAACATGTTCATTTTATTTTGATATTTGGAATATTGGACAACCACCTGCGATTTTGGCAGCAATTTCCCCCAATATATACCGACATACGCCACATAAACAAGCATACTCGTACTTCTCTAAAACATCATTAGTTAAGGATTAAAATTTTATGAATATGTATATCTACAGTTCGTGTGTAGAGAACTTTTAGCTTACCTAAGCGTAGGCTCAGGCAAGCTAATTCGTCCGTTATCTTTGTCGTTGTTGTTGCCGCAAAGTACCAGGTATTTATTTTTTTATCGTCTCTACCCAAATTATTTGTCCAATTCCACAGGATTTAACATTAAATTTCTTTCAGATGAGATGTGAATCGACTGGTCACAATGTTGTGAGCCCTGTATGTTAACAAAAAGAGGGAATATTCCGCTACAGTTAGAGCAAGGCGAGGATGGGTGTACGAAGAAAGGTAGTTAATGAAACTTCCTGCTTATAGATAGCAATTAAACGTCATTTCAGGGCAGAAAACTAGGAGTGCCTGTTACCAATCCATATTCAAATGCGTTCAAGAGCGTATGTTTATTACTTTTTCCTTAATAATATTTTTATTACCCCTTTCTTTAAAGCTACAGATTATCATAACGTTAAAAACACAGTTGCAACGACGTCAACCTACCTATCAATTGCAAAATCGGTTAAAAAATCAGTTATATCAAATTGTAATTACATTTTTATACCTATAATTTCTTAGTTTTGTTTAATTTTAATAATTAAGCAAAAAAAAGTTGCATTAAAACAGTAAATACGCTTCATTTTAATATGATGCGCGAAATAATGCACAATGGAAACTATAGTCGGCCCCCTTAAGATACTGATGTATCAATTTAAAAAAAGTAGAACGAGTTTACAAAAAATAAAGCAACATAGAAGTAAAGACAAAATGAAGAATGATAAAAGTTCAAAATGAAATGTAAAAAAGACGAATATGAATACAATAAAGTGACATACTGTATGTACATACAGTTACAATTGTTACTAGCGCTCTCGAGCGCTAGTAACTACTGTACGTTAGTCCATATTTCTGGAATACGCATGCTCGGCTTCACGGTCTGACATTCTGGGAAAACTTCACGGTCTAGCTGTGAAAACTACTACAGACAGACTGTACGATATCAATTTCGTTGTGTCATTATTTAACACTGGCCTTTTCTGTTGGGATCTGAAGTTTGTTGATTTATTGTGTAACTTACACTTTAAAGTTAACTGTACAACAAAACTTAGGTTATACGTATATATAATGCCAAGATTCTACACATCTAGCTTCCGATTTATGCAACCTTCCTGGATAATACGTCAACCTCATAAAAAATCTTTTTTTTTTCAAAGTTTGTTGTCAAAACACGATAAGGGATTGATACATTTGCATTTCCACACTTATATATGATTTTAATTCTACAAAATACACTTCACTAAACTCTAACTATCAGACTCTAGCCTCGTTAATCATTAAAAAATTCAGCAAAATAAATTAGTTGATCACGAATCTTCCTTTCTTTATTCAAAAATTGCTAGTGTACGGCGCTAGCTGACCTATCTTTTTTAAAAGATAAACTTGTAACAAGACTTATTTTAGTTGTTTTTATTTACTTCCCGGACGACAATTAATGTGTAACAAGAACACATTGATGTACCATCAATTGTCGTCCGGGAAGTAAATAAAAACAACGAAAATAAGTCTTGGTAATCAAACTGTTTCGATTTGCGTGATCAGACATGTTCTGAATGATGACGACTATAGTCGAGAAGATTTACGGAAAACTTCTAGTCGGATGAAAATCGAACAAAAACGGTAACGTTTTAAACTTAATTTCTCAAGCAATTGTTAGCTGTATAAGATACGAAATAGAATCAGACACAGACATATCATCAAAAATATATTTGGCTCAATAAATATAAAACACAAATTGTGAAAACGTTTTTCTGCGATAAGTAAAATTTAATGTTCTAAAAAGAGGATCTGTCGTTTTTTATGGTAAATGATAACCAATTTCATACATTAGTATTAAAACATATATATTGATAAAGATGTAAGGAAGTAAATATATCGTGTATCTCGTAATTTACAAAGGGAAATGACATTCATATGTATATTCTATTAATATATAGTTAACATTTGATTCTGAATAACTTTTCCCACATCAATCTCATACATTAAAACTTAAACTTATATGAATAGAGCAGCTCGGTCCTCTGGGCTGCAAAAAAGTAGGTAGAGTAAGAAGAAAAGCAAGATAAAAAGACGGTAATTTCTTTCCATATCTTCTAAGGAACCTTTGGTGAACATGAAACATATGAACAGTGTTCTCAGTGTTGCAAGAAAGGAGATGAGATCTTAAAGCAAATTTTCAGTTTATTTGTTTAAAGCAAAGCCAAAATAGTAGAGTATGATGCTCAAATTTACTTTAACTAGTGTAGAGAATCTTTTAAAATCTTTTTTCAAAGAGTTTGTTTTAGAGTATCGAATTCAAAATCTTCATTTTTGAATCAATGCTAAATTAAGAAAATGAAAATGTTCTTTGAAAGCTATTTAAAATTTTATCCTTTACTTTGCATTCAACCTAGATTGTCTTAAAGAAAATGATATCACTCGTTTTAATTAGTTATATCACCAATTCATAATAAATAGGTGATATCACCGATTCAAAAAATTGGTTTCACATATTCGATTAAATGATAGCATCTATTCAAAAAGATGATATCACATTCAGAAAATTGATAGAACTAAATGGAAATAAATCCAAAATCGCGCCTCATATTTGTGTTTCATTTAATGCACAGTCGCCCGCGTGGCGCAGTGGTTAGAGAGTCTGATCTAGAGTCGCAAAGTAAGGAATTGATCCTTACGTCGTGGGTTCGAATCCCATTGTGTGACGTGGAGACCGGTCCTTTGGATGAGACCGTATAAACCGAGGTCCCGTGTCGCAGTATGTGCTGGCAAGAGAAAGGTCCCTCCCTGCTCTATGGCTCTGAGTGCCGAGTATAGGACAAAAATTGCAGCTCTCCATCGCGAAAAGTAGTGGCGTCTCCATATGAGTGAACAATCTCGAGAAGGACGTTAAACAATATACAATCAATCGATCAATCATTAAATGCACATAGTAAGTAGGAGACAAAAATAATATCAAGATTTGCTAAAAGATGAAGGATGTATTGGTGATATTTTTCTCATACTGATTCTTCTCTCATCTCTCTCAGGTTAAAGTATACAGGCGTGTCTACAATGTCTGAAATGAATGTAATAGTCAGAATTGCACTTTCTTAATTTTTTCGAGCATTTTTCTTACTTATTTGTAATATTTGTAGTATTCACTTACTGGTGTAGACTGATTCTATTTCTCCAACTGTATTTATTTGCTGGTACTGTTGACTATCGGTATAATGGTAGGATTGTTTGGTGGCATTGTGGGATTTTGAATATTTTAACTTCTTTTCTCTTCTACTGAGAAGAACAGGATATTCTATACAATACATGGGCACAAGTTAGTTTTCATTCTGCTTAAAATTCAGTTGATTTGATAGCATACCTCATGTAAAGTATCAGCCCAATGGAAAATAGTAGGAAGAAAATGCATATTCCTCCAAGTGACGTTCCGAGTGTTATGAAGACAGTTAAATGGTCGTTCAAATCTGCATAATATATGAATAAATTTAAAAGTATTATTGATGAAAAAAAGACTGTGAAGGTTTGCACAAATGTTTGATGCCAGAATAATTAGGAAGCTATTGAAGTTTAATATCTTAAATAAACTTTTGTTCAGAGATGATTCATTGAATATAGAAAGGATTGTTTGTCTACCTAGTTGTCTGATATTGTGTTTGCATATCCCCAATCTGATACTTATTATGTCGGACATTAAACTTTAAGTAACAGAATAACAACAATGCCCAACACATGAAATGGTTCCACTTTGTGAATAACTAAATACATTGATTTTCCTTACGTTCGCATGTAGGTAACACAGTAAAACTGAATTTGTTGCTTTCTCCGCACACAGCTTTGTTGATTCCATGCAACCTCAAGCCGTTCTTACAACGGAAGTGTATGACGTCTTGGTAACTGTATGATTGCTTCAAACTTGTTATCTCTAAGTTTTCACTAAGATATGGTGTTGGACAACTGATTGCTGTTCAAAGAAAACTAATTGCTTCAAGCTTTTGAAAAAGTAAATTAATAAATGTATATTATTTCTTGCAAATGAAAATATCGTTCTAGATAATAATTACCAATGCGGTGCTTGAAAAAGAATGTTGATATTTATTACTTACCATGACAATTCGGTATCTTTTGGGTAAATGTGTCTGGAAGATGGCATGTCAACGTCAAGGATTTTAAAAGATAGAAACCATTGGCACATCCCAAATTTATTGATTCGTTAAAGGCATAGAGGGGTTTATCAGGCTTGAGAGACATATGTTCAGGCACTTTATACGGTCTTCTGCACGTAATAGCTGGAGAACATGACACAAGAAAAAGAACACAAAAGTCCAGACTTAAAGAAATCAACAAACTATGAATATATTGTTTAACAATCCACTTTTCTTTTTATATAATCAAATGAAATAAAAATGATTGAAAATGCAGAAAATGCCAATGCTTTGTTACCTTCACAAGATGGATGGTCAAATGGAAACACAAATGTGTTTAGACTACATGTTGCTGATTTTGATCCCTTTATGAAATGCCCCTCTTCACATTCGAAGCTGACAGAGGTGTTATAGGGATATTCAAATTTATCAGGTACAACAAGTAGATGATCAGAAGAAAGATCGGATCTCAGACATTTTTTTACTGTAACAAATATCAATTTTTAATATTCGTGTAAAAGGAACTAGCACTGCTACTCAACTACCAATTCATGTATTTACAACTTTGTATATATTTAATTTGAAAGTACATAACCAATACTATAGACAGAAGTCAAAATAGCTATGAAATACTTCCGGTCTCGTGTGTGTACTCTTGTAAAGTGGCACTTTTGAGTGCTTTAAATAAATTTCCATCCGTGACATTGTATCTGCTTTGTAGATCCGACAGTAAGGATATACAGTGTCAATATTTTAGTACTTTCTAGGTAGATAGATACAATTATCAAGGCATGGAAGAGTAATTTTAAAAAACCGAAATGTTAGCATCATGTCTGCAGTCTGTATTCTTAAGCGGAACTTTGTAAAAAAAAAATCAGCTTTTCATTTATAAAAAAAAATATATACTTTTACAGACAGGCAGGACTGTGAGATTAAAGCTGTTTCCATTTCCACATATAGCACGAGTGGTCCCAAGGAGGCGGAAGCCAATCTCACACAGGAATTGTATCTCCTCTCCATAAACGTATAATTGTTTGTCGTCTGTTACATGTAATCTGTCACTTAAAACTGGTTTTGCACATTTTATGGCTATAAAGAATATTCAACAATGATTGTTTATTCAACTGTTAACATGATGGTATTATTTATGTAGTAATACAGGATTGGGTTCGATAACATAAGAGTGTACTTCTTTTGGCGCTACAGTACATTTAATATATATGACATTAAGAACGTACAGTGTCGATATTTTAGTGCTTTCTAGGTAGATAGATAGATACATTCATCAAGGCATGGATGAGTAATTCTAAAAAAACCGAAATGTTAGCATCATGTCTGCAGTCTGTATTCTTAAAAGGAACTTTGTAAAAACAAGAGGCCCAGGGGCCACATCGCTCACTTGAACACAAAGGCCAGGAAAAAGCACAAATCAGATCAGAATTGAAAAGTTTAATGAGGGGGTGGGGGAGTGGGCTTGAATTCTAATAGTACTTTAGAATGCCTCCATACTCCAATACTGCATTTTACTTCTTGAGAAAGTTCTTGAGAAAAAGATTTTTATAGATTTTTTAAAACATTTTGTATATATAACTTTGTAATAATTTGAATTTGACTCCCCATTGTTTCCACCCTATCCCCGGGGATTATGATTTGAACAAACTAGAATCTGCACTACCCGAGGATGTTTCCATATAAATATCACTAATCATGGCTTGCAGTACTTGAGAAGAATTTTTTACAGATTTCCCTATATATTCCTAAGTAAAACTTTGATCGGTCATTGTGGCGCCACCCTATCCCTGGGGGTCATGATTTAAAAAATTTGAATGTACACTACCTGAGGATGATTCAACATGAGTCTCATCTTTTCTGTCCCAATGGTTCTTGAAAAGAAGAATTTTAAAGTTCACCCTATATATTCCTATGTAAAACTTTGATCGACCATTGTGGCCCCACCCTACTCCTGGAGGTCATGATTTAAACAAACTTGAATCTACACTACCTGAGGATGATTCAACATGAGTCTCATCTTTCCTGTCCCAATGGTTCTTGAGAAGAAGATTTCAAAAGTTTTTTTCCTATATATTCCTATGTAAAACTTTGATCGACCATTGTGGCCCCACCCTACCCCACGGCGGTCATGATTTGAACAAACTAAAATCTACACTACCTGAGAATAATTCAACATGAGTTTCATCTTTCCTGTCCCAATGGTTCTTGAGAAGAAGATTTTTAAAATATTTTTCGTATATATTCCTACGTAAAACTTTGACCGACCATTTTCTACCCCCGGGGGTCATGATTTGAACAAACCTGAATGTACAATGTCCACTACCTGATTTGAACAAACTAGAATCTACACTACCTGAGGATGATTCAACACGAGTTTCATCTTTCCTGTCTCAATGGTTCTTGAGAAAAAGATTTTTTAAATATGCCATTAATTTGTCACAAATTCATAATTATCTCCCCTTGGAAGTAGGCGTGGCCCTTCATTTGAATAAACTTGAATCCCCTTTACCCAAGAATACTTTGTAGTAAGTGAAATTAGCCTATTGGTTCTTGAGAAGAAGATGAAAATGTGAAAAGTTTACAACAACGACAACGACACCAACGACGACAACAGACAACGGACAAAGCATCAGAAAAGCTCACTTGCATGAGACTTCGGCTCAGGTGAGCTAAAATCAGCTTTTCATTTATAAAAAAAAGTGTACTTTCACAGACAGGCAGGACTGTGAGATTAAAGCTGTTTCCATTCCCACACGTAGCACGAGTGGTCCCAAGGAGGCGGAAGCCAATCTCACACAGGAATTGTATCTCCTCTCCATAAACGTATGATTGTTTGTCGTCTGTTACATGTAATCTGTCACTTAAAACTGGTTTTGCACATTTTATGGCTATAAAGAAGATTCAACAATGATTGGTTATTCAACTGTTAACATGAAGGTGTTTTAGATGTAGTAATGCAGGGTTGTGATCAATTACATAATAGTGTACTTCGAATTGTAATTAACGAGATTTGCTCCTGATATTTATAGTCTATAAGTTTCTACACACATAGCTTAATTAAAAATCAAATCAAATTATAGGGGTCAATTTGCTTCTTTTGGCGCTACGTACATTACATTTAATATGACCTTTTTGCACTGAAATTTGTGCCTTTGTCAAAAATTACATCTTCGACGTTTTCCCTCCGATATTTTTATCCAAATAAAGCATGGAACAAAACAAACTATAAGTCTCTTTAAAAAAGACACTTTAAAATAGTGACTAAGAAAAAGTTTCAAATGTCTAAAAAATTTAATAAGCAAAAAATTATTTTAAAGTCTAAAAGAAGAAGGTACAGTATCAATATAAATTAAGCCTGATATTTTTCTAAAATATGAAAGTGATATAAGAAATAAAAATTCATTCTTTCTTAATCATAGGAATTCCCTGAAGTAAGAAAATACAAGTCGTTTTTCTCATATGACCTCCTTAGTGCTAATTGTTACGTCATTAACTTGTGCATTTTCCCGTATTTTCTTAAAAAGTTGCAGAAGACACCAATTTTCAGTGGAAATTTCTTCAAGAAAACATACTCTGCCACCGTCGCCCGGAAAGATTTTGAGATATGTGATTTTTCATGGCAATTACATAATATATCCAAACATTAAAGTGGGCGACGGTGGCAGGCACTATTTTCTAAAGGAAATTAAGCACAGAAATGAGTCATTCTGCAGTTTTTCTGCATTAAACTTAGAAATGTACCAAATTAATGACGTCATATTTCCAGACAGGTCCTCCTTTATGCCATATTCTTTCATGATTTATCATATTCATCTACTCAACTATTGTTAAAGCCAATTTCATAACCTTTTGAGAACATTAAATTTATAATAAAAAAAGAAGAAATATTTCATTTTCTTCTAAAAAAAACCCTTCCGCCACAAAATATAGTTCCTGGGGATTAATCCTACTTAAATTGAATTTAATCGTGTTTTTTTTTTCATTGTTCAAATATAGTTTAATTTGTATTGTAGAATTTAGATTTAATGTTAGAACAGCAGAATGTTAGAAAAAGTCCAGACCAAAATGTGCTCAGGATCGAACCTCCTTAAGTACTTTAAATGCATTGATAACAATGCCAATGACTAGCAATTACAATTACATGTACATTGATTTTTACAAATGTAATTTGTTACATTGAATGACTTTGAAGAATGTAAATTAAATACATATCAATTACTTCAGTTTTATTTTTCAAAACCCTGAAGAGCAAATTTAATCAATTTTAGGTAGAGGTTATGTTTGAAATAAATAGCATAAGGTGCCAGTGATAGCGTGTTTCATGAACACAAGATCCATTGGCGTCGGAAGCAAATTGAAAGTGGGGGGCTAAATGTAAAAATTTTTTATACCTTCAAAAAAACCTGACAAGCAAAGAAAGAAAAAGGGAAATGTCCATTTTCCAAACACGAAAATCCTATTTCGTGGTGGTGGTGGTGGTGGTGGGGGGGGGGGGGTAGGTTCGAACTTCAGTACCAAAATTTTTTCCAGACACCACCTCTTTCCCCAATTTTAACCTATACCGCTACAAGTCTGTGGAAAGGGGCTGCATGAACCTACGAAGCAATGTTCAATGTCTATACTAAGTATATATTTGGAAAAAAAGTAGTCCCCCGGTTCCAACACCTTTGAGATCTATATGGTTATGTTTATAAACTGACTGCCTCGTTGACATTTGATTTTAAGAACAAACTTGAATCTAGAGTATGTAAATTTCATCTTTTCGTGTCCAGTGGTTCTTGAGAAAAAGACATTTTAAAGATACAATCAAATTTTCACGAAATCTTAATTATCTCTGTTTGAGAGAGGGCGGGACACTGAACCTTTTAAAATCTAAAATTCTTTTCACCCATGCATACTTTTTGTACTTTTAGTTGAAATTAGCCCGGTGGTTCTTGAGAAAAGTCAAAATATGAAAAGTTTACATGCTACAGACCGACGCCAGGTACTTTTTGATCAGGAAATCTCGCTTGAACCATGGGCTTAGATGAGCCAAGAGCCATACTTCAATCGCTTCATTTAACACCTGTCATCTTATGTTAATTTGAGGGGTAGGGAAAAGTTATTGAAATACATGAATATGTGCATATTTAGTTAAAATACATAATTGAACGAATAACAATGATGAACACATAACACAGAAAAAGTGGACTAATTTATTGCTTATATATCTTCTAACTTACGTTGATCACAGTAAGGACCAGTCCATCCAGGAATACACTGCGAGCACGTGAAATTCTCATTCAGACAAGTCTCCTCTGGATGGCAGTTCTTCGGACAGAAACCCAAGCAATAGGCTGAGGTTGTTTTGACTGGAATGCATGCTTAACATAAAATAATAAAAAATACAATTTTTATTAATGATATTTTCAACAAAATTATTCGAGAGAAAAGTTAATTTCTTGCAGGATAGTGAGATAATCCAGAATTCATTGTTCTGTCTATGTATATTCTGTATATTCTGTAATAAACCTTTTTATTTTTAAACTGATATTGTTTTCTAAAACTATTCCCCTGAGTAAAGTAACGGTGGACCTTTCCAACTGGATGCAAACCGACCTGGCTGACTTACCAAAGACAAAGACTTCGCATAAAGTCAGTATTTTCTCTGAGCTTATGTGTTCCCCTTTAATTATGATTTGAGATACTTGTTCCCATAGCATGTAAGAAGAGTCAATTAAAATTTCTTTCCTTCCAGAAGAGGATTTATTTGTGTCGTTGTAGATAAGATTTTCGGTTCCATCTCTTGTTTTGCCATACAGGGTGAATCCATCAATGCGTCTTCCTGTCAATAAAATTGAATTGCATTGTGAAAGTAGCACAAAATATAGCAGCATTATGAAAATGAGAATTTTCGTAATTGAGATTTCTTTTTGATAATCAACAATAAATACTTGAGACGACGCCTTTCGATCGATGGCTTGTTTTTGAAAAAATGTTAACATACAATTTCAGCATCAAGATAATATCAAGATATGTTTGACGAAGTATTTTACCAAAAAGTTTACTGTTTACTCTTACTGTTAGAATCGTCCCTGTTACTTATCAATATAGACATCACAGCATAAAAATCTCCTAGATTCACTTTCCAATATGGATTTGATTTGTAAGGCACTGTATGGGTACAAGAAATCTTGGAGAATTCATAATTGCTATTCCAACCATCCACAGCTTTATCTGAGGTAAGAAATACTCCTTTTTCTCTGTAAGTACTTGACTGTTCTGTTTCTTTTGAAAACGCTACATTTTTTCCTATAATACAAATAAATTATTGTTTGGTAACACTTTGTTTTGAAGGAATCTTTAAATCGGTATGTATTTTCAATATTTGTACATGTTTAAATCTCCTCGCCACTGGTTCTTTCTTATTTGAAAAGTTTCCAAATCATCTTCGTATGTAAGATCTTAAGCATGTTTCTTATAAATCATTCATTACTTATTATTCATTCTTTTTTCATTCAAAACTAAATACATTTTTATTATTTTTACAAAAATGGCTATGCGCTGATTGATGTCCCAAAATAATTACACATTCAAAAAACATATTAAAACAAAACAAAAAACAAAACAAAACAACAAAAAAGTGAAAGTTTTCATTTTCAGTACATTTTAAGTATTTTGTTTCACATTTTATCTTTCATCTTATATTTATCAATCTACTTATGAAAAAAGAAAACAAATCAAATATTGAAAAAAAGGCCTGTATAAGGTTTGAATTCTTACCTCCAAAAACTTCAATTTCACTGATTTTAGTGTAAGAGGTAAATTTGATTAATAATTTATCAGTCATTGTCATTTTGTCGAGAAAAACAGTTGGAGACCCAGTAAAATGAGAGTTATTATGACAAACATTGCCTTCGTGGTCATGAATTATCACGTGTATTTCGATATCTGAAAAGATCAAGTGCAAATACTTTTATTTCAAAAGTATCATTTTATTACAATTAAACATCTCACGAAAAAAACTATTGTTTTTTACTTTACCAGTTAAATAACAGAATATATTGATAGCGGACACTGCAAAAACTCCATTCAGATTAACTGTAGCATCAACGATGGAATGGAAATTTGTCCAGTTCCCATCAAACATTGGATCGATGTTGATATCGTTGATTGCAAGATTAACTGTCGAGTGGAAATATTGTTTGTTTATTTTTATTCTTACTACTTAAATATACAGTGTGTACAATTAAAAATTTAAAACAAAATTTTCCCTCTTCGATTCAACTTTATTTTAATTCATGTGCCTATATCTCACCATACTGGCACCCCGGCCCCATCCATCCCCTCTCACACTGGTTACCCATACCAGTACAATCTCCTGTGGTCTCATTAAATGTATTAAATACACAGTGTTCCAGTGATGTGCAGTCTGTTTCGTTCACATGTTTTATCCATTGACAGAAAAGTGCTTTGATATGAAACAAAATGCTTAAAGGAAATATTACGTTAAAGCACGGTCATAGCAAACATAAACTTTTTTCACATTTTCATCTTTTTAAGAACCACTGGGCCAATTTCAACCAAAATGTAATGAATTCCTGTTTACATCGAAGTGCTTAAAATAAAATACCAATTTTTAAGGACAAATCGCTAAATTTGCATCTCGCTAAAATTTCTACTTATACAGTATTCAACATTTAGTAAGCATATAGTTTGAAATTTTTACCGATCATGACTAAGTTTGATTTAGTTCAGATACGAAAAGAAAACAAAAAGAAACAAGAAAAATGTTCAACTCACCATCAGACAAAGTTGGTAAAACCAATTGTTGGAGTATCATCATATCAACATAAGATATGAAATAAAGTGATATGCTGAAAAATGTCATTTCGAATGAGATGGGTTACACACTACTAAATTTTGCACTAATATATTGAAAATATAGGCGAGAAGAGGAAATTTCAGAAAAGTATCGGATATGTACAAGGAAACTATAAAGTTCAATAAGATGATAAAATTTTGATATTATTCTCTCTTTATAGTACGTTATGGGATAAGTGCATAAATTCAATACATTTTTTTTAATTTTCAATGTAAAACAACTTTTCAAATGCTACTTCTACAGTTTTGGTCTGATTTCATAGCTTGGCAAACAAGCAGATTATACAAAGATTCATAATTTAGTGCATCATGTTTTTGATTTCGATGAACGGTCTTGCCAAAGTTACTGAAAATAGAAATTTCTGTGAAATTCCCTTAAAACAGTACTTCTCTTACAGTTTTAGTCTGATTTTAATGGCGAGTTTGAGAAAAAAGACATTGGGGTTTATCAAATATGGATAAACCTGGTTATTTTTTTTTTTTACATATGCTGAGATCGATAACTCCTAGTCATTACGTTAATAATTCATCGGGCTCGGTGCTAAAAAAATTCCTGATATTTGTTGAATGCGCATGTCTTCTAGAACATTCCTTTCGATTCCTTAATTTGAATGAAGCATCACCCCTAGCAGCGCATTTGCCTCAGAAAGTGAAGGGAAAAAATTACAAAAATCAATTCATAAATGTTGGTACCCTTCTCTTTCATGATCCGACCTCAACACAACAAAACCACCTTGTGTTTGAAGATGGTGTATTTTAGGTGAAGCCTAAGCATAAATATCAAAACAATTTAAACTTATCACAATGGTTAGATGCTTTTGCAATTTTTGCATCAGTTTATTTATAGTCAAACATCCATCCTAAGCAAGCTCATTGTTTAGATATACGGCATTGATACAGAGGGTAGCTGAAAAAATCAAAGGCAACTGGTTAGATTATTATATTCAGTTTAGGCTTAAAAATCTTACAACTCCTCTTTGAGTTGGGCTTCTGTTAATGCAGAGCTGTGGATGGTCTATTGGTCTATATGCAATCGTAGACTGCTCCTACTAACCCTTTATCACGCCAGCAGTCTGCGCAGCCCTGCAACAAATGCTACAATTATAATTATCAGGGCATTTGCAACAAGTCGAATTGCAATTATGTGCATAGTTGTCTTAAATGTAATTCTTTTCATCCTTTAGTGAAATGTTTCAAGGCTAATTAAACTGCTATGCCAGAACAGTCTTCATCACAGACCAATTTCAATAATCGTGCACATTTCCATTCCAGGAACCAGCTGTTCCAGTACTAGTATTCAAAGGGCCAGTCACAGTCCAATTCTGTCACATAATTGTCAGAATTTATGGAACGGGGTCACTCACCTATCAATTCTGAAAATCTGAATCAATTGTTATCTACTTAACCAAATGTTCAAGATGCTCATTGTTTATCCTTAGGTTTCAAGTTTGCTTTTCCTTGACTTTTGAATAGGAGGAGGGTGGAGTTTAAAAACATGAAATCTGCAATTCAGTACAGCTTTCAAATACAGGAAAAAATTGATAAGGAAGTTAAGTTAGGGAGAATAATGGATCCATTTTTATTTCCCTAAATATCCAATTTGCGATGTGATGTAATCCAATAGATTTAGTTCCCAAAAAACAAGGTGGTTGGCGAATGATAACAAATTTGTCATATCCAACATATGACAGTGTTAATGACTACATAGACCCCAATTTAGGTTCTGTCAGTTATTCCACTTTTGATGATGCTGTTTCTTTAATTGCGAGTAAGGGTGAGGGTGCCCTATTAGTAAAAATGGACATTTCCAGTGCATTTCGTCTGTTACCAGTTTGTCCACAGGATTTTTGTTTATTAGGCTTTAAAACACTCTGCTGCATATATATGCATATATATATATATATATATATATATATATATATATATATATATATATATATATATATATATATATATATATATATATATATATATATATGCATACATTGACAAGTGCTTACCTATGGGTTGTTCCTTGTTGTGTTCTCTATTTGAGAAGGTTTCTACCTTCCTTCACTGGGAATTCTCTCAGAGATCTAAATTAAAAAGTGTTATTCACTATTAAGATGATTTTTTGTTTGTAGGAAGAGCCAATTCATCTCAGTGTATATATTTAATGAGACAGTTTGAAGGGTTATGTTTAGAATTAGGCATTCCGTTAGCTTTTGAGAAAATAGAGGGACCTTCTACTCGTTTGAGTTTTCTAGGTTTAGGCATAGATACTATTTCCAGAACTAGTTTTGTTCCAAATGAAACAGTTAGGGAGTTATTGGCAAAAATAAATGGAATGTTCAAAAAAGGTTACTTTGAAAGAAATGCAGTCATTGGCAAGAGCGCTTGCATTTGTGGTTAAGGCACTGCCAGCTGGTAGGGCATTTTGTACAAGACTTTATGGTTAAATGGCAGGAGTAAAAAAATCTTTTCATTTTATAAGAATTACTGCAGAAATTAAGTTAGACTTGTTAATGTGGGTTCAATTTCTTACTAATTTTACCGTTCACGGTAGCTCAGTCGGTAGAGCGCTCGGGAGATCGTAAGTTCGAATCTCGGCCGCGACTGACCTAAGTCGATTTAAAATTGGTAGCAACTGTTCCTTCGCCATGCGCTCGGCACTTTGAAGTGAAAGTTGCGGGTCCTTCCGATGAGACCTTAAAAACCGAGGACCCGTGTCAGCGGCAGGCATTGGCACGATAAAGATCCCTCACTGCTCAATGGCCCAGAGTGCCGAGAAAAGGTCAACATTTTGAAGCCCTTCACCGGCATACGGTGACGTGTCCATATTAGTGAAAAATTCTCGAGAGGGACGTTAAACAATATACAATCAATCAATCTTACTGATTTTAATGGTAGGACACAATTTCCTAGTCTTGTATGGCAGGAAGATGATTCGCTCCAATTTTATTCAGATAGTTCAAGTTCTTATGGTTGCGATGTGGTGTTCGGTAAACATTGGTGTTGTCTGCATTGGCCTGATGGCTGACCTGAGGAATGCTGCAGGGATATCACTTTCTAAGAAATTGTACCTATTGTATTAGGGGTTATGATTTAGGCTGAAAGTTTAAGGAACAAAAAGACTCCTTCTTCATACCGTAAATCTGGAAATTTTTACTGTAGATAAATTTTTCGCAAAAATATTTTTCTTAAAAATAAATCAACGTGTAAAGATTTTTTTTCCTGAAAGCTGGGGTCCTTCTTACTTTTTTAACTCGGTGAATAGGCGTCGGTAAGCACTGGTCATTTTTGTGAAAGAAACCTGTTTACACTAGTCTACTATATGACTACAATTGAGTTAATTACCCGTGCGTGTAAATTGCCCTCATTATATGCAATATCGTCCGATGATTTGACAAGCACTGAGGCGGTATGTCCCTTTTTAATTATTTTCATCAATTAATTTGCCAATAAAGAGAGAACTGTCATTTTATCTAACCGTCTATAAACACGGGCGATAACTCAAACTCAGTGCATTTTCTAGAAAGTTCCAAATGTAAACGCGGCGTGTAAATTTCAGGTGAGAAAAAAAGCAAACGTTGAGAAAATTAGTTATATTTTTTCTTCATTTGGATTATACTTTAGGTTAAAAGGCATACACAACCTCTAAAATGTTTGTTATACATGTAATTGATTTAGAAATTATTTTCAGTGCAAATCCTTCTGTATTTTTATAAAAATTGTTTAGGAGCGATATCGCAATTTCTTGCCACGTTGCGAGTATATTGGTGGTATTCTAACTGGGCATATTGTTTGAAAAATAACCTAATATGAAAATCTTCAGTGATTTTTTATTTTTAACACCAGTGACAATTCGCAAAAATTTGAAGCGTAAAAATTAATCAACAGCTTTTTACGAAAGCCCAGAAGGCTCATTCGAGATTCAAGATTCGAAATACGAGATTCAAAATTCGAGATTCGAAATTCGAGTTTCGAGATTCAAGATCCAGATTAACCAATCAAAAGGCTCATTCGAGATTCGAGGTTCGAAATACGAGATTCGAAATTCAAGTTTCGAGATTCAA